ATCTGAAAACTGTATTTTGTATTAAGATCCCTTAGTTGACATTTTTGTTTTTATTGCAGCTTTATTTTGGAACATTTCTGCTGTTTGCACACGTGGATCAGTAAAGACACATTTTTCAGCAAAATACTTACTGAAGTGACGATTTGTACAAAACTAAAAATAAATAAATAAAAAACTTAAGACTTAAAGGTGATAAAAGCAAAAGGTGAGTTTAACTCAGACAGTCACCTGATGCACCATTGATTCTGGCTTATGCAGTCCAAAAAGATAAAAAAAAAGGGTCAATATCCAGTTCTTTGCTTGTTTTATTCTCCGTTTATACAAAGACAGGATACAGGCTTCGCACGATTCTGTTACTGCTCTCACTCTGATTCCTGCACCTATTATTTGATTAGCTGACTGATTGAGACTGAAAAATGGTAAAAAAAAAAAAAAAATTTGACCACCCACGTGCATAATGAGCTAACTAAAACCTTCCCTTTTATACTGTAAAACACCCACATCCCAAGCTAAAATTTATGAAATATTTAAATGAATTACTAACCAAAAAACCAACTGTAAATAGCAAATCAAACTAAATAATTTCAATTGTAAGATTTAACTGAAAATGGAAAAATTGCTTCTATACTCACAAAAGCAAATCTTATTCAACAATATGGTGTAAATGCACAGCGAATATATGATCAATGCAAACTCTGGAATTAGCAAAAACAAAAGAAACACAGTAAAAGTAAAATAAGGTAACTAAAATCGTTGTAATATAAATTGATTGATTGATTTATTGAGATCACAGTGGAGAAATTTACTCGTTACATCAGCTCAAATAGTCAAAAAGAGAAAAAGAAGGGGCCAAAAAAGAAAAAGGTCAATGGGATATATACAGTATACACAGTGCATCCACGTGCGGGCACCTAATTTGATTTGGCGCACGATTGGATTAAATTTTCCATTGTTGCTTTGGAAAGAAAAAAACAACAATGGTCACAGAAATAACTACAATGATAAAAAACTAATAATAAAAAAATAGATATAAATGAATAAAAAACAAAGCAGACATTGCTTCTCAACCATGCTTTAGGAGAATGATTAAAAATAATCTCATGAAACAGGTCTGGACAAAAATTATGGTTCCCAACTTAATACTTTGCTGCACAACCCAAGAATCAATCAATGCAATCAAACAATTCCTGTAGCTGTCAGTGAGACTTCTGCTCCTCTCAGCAGGGATTTTGTCCCACTTCTCTTCAGCAAAGCTGCTCCAATTATCTTAGGTTTGAAGGTAGCCTTTTCTAGATTGCATGTTTTGACATGTCAGCCGTGCTACTGCCATCAACACCTTTGTGTATAGATGTTGGAGATTGGCCTGTTTTCCAGTGTAGTCCTGTTTCTCTGACTGTGACTGGCTGGATGTGCTCTCTTCATCCTCTGAAATGGGAGCTGGCTCGGAGCTCGTCTGCCTGGCTGTGTGTTTCCTCAACAGGGCCGCCTTTTACAGCTGCTTTCTGTATCTCTTTTTCTGTCTCTTAAATCCCAGTCGGCATCCGAAGATGGCAGCTCACACTGAGCCTGGTTCTGCTGGAGGTTTCTTCCTGTTAAAAGGGAGTTTTTCCTCTCCACTGTCGCTACAAGCATGCTTAATGTGAGGGATTGCATTCAAGTCAATGAGTCAATGCAATCAACTGGTTTAAAAAAATGCTGGAAAGTTGTGTCTCAAAATGGAAAAGCATCTGACCACTAGGGGGAGTCGGATACCAACTCATATGAAGTCAGATAATGGGTTTGATTTGAGAGGCTGCATCCTCCAGGTCTCTGAAGATAAGGACGACGGAAGGGTTTTGGCTATGGATTCAAACAGATCCAGCCTTCTCCTTGTTCCGCCTAGCAACCATGACGGTTGACATACAATTCAGGGACAGATAAAACATTTCAATAAACCAAACATTACCTGCGACATATCTGACTAAATAACCATAAAAAAAAAAACAATTTTCATTCATTTTTAGATGGAACTATTCACATCATTGTATTATATTAAACTGCACTTCCAATATTCCCCATTATTCTGTGCCATTGACCTTCTTCCTCTGAGAACGGAGCAACCGGCTTGCTTGGACTCAAAATCAATCATGGGATATTCAAGACTACATAGGATACACCGGTCTTTCATAATCGGGCAAAACAAGGTATCTTCCTCTGCTGACTCTGGAAGGAAAAGTCACACTGTGGTGCATTATTCCAGAGTGTGTCAGTGTTTACAACAGTGCTATTTTCAAAAGGACCAGTAGGGGGAGTGCGACTTAAATATTACTTAGTGCTGAAGACCGAGGCTTGTAATTTGCAGGAGAAGCACTCACGTTTGGGGAACTCTTGGTTAATCTTTGGATCCAGTTTGTGGGGGCTTATCCAGAGATGAAAGTACTCTTTGGAGGGCGGACAGGCAGACTCACGTTGGGTCCAGAGGAGCAACAGAGCGGACTGTCACTGGGTTTTCCTGAAGAGGACTTGAGCGGATCAAGTGGAGGTTTCCTCTAGCTCAGTTGTGACTCAGTTTATCCTTCCAGGGGGGTAGAAGGTCCAGGCTTAACCAGTGGATCAGGAAGGCTTCCTGCCGGAGAACAAAGACAAAGCAAGCTTAGACTCAGAAAGACAAGGCTAAAGGTTAGACTCAGCTAATCTCAGTTTGGCTAGAGTACCCAATACTGAAAAATACTCTGGCGTTGAGGTAGTGACAGCCCACTGCTCAAATACTCCTCTGGTGATGACCCAACGAGCCGCAGGTGTGCGAGGAGGCCCAAACGAGGACAGAGCACCATCTAGTGGTGGAAAAATAAAACACAAAAACAACACACACAAACTGGATTCCTAACAATTTCCATTGCTACAGGAAGGAGACACAGCTATGCTTTTCCTTTAAACCCAGTTCTACAGTCTTCCTTTACCTGTTTGTCTGAAATAAAATGGGCTGTAAGATAATGAAATAAAAGTTCCCTTCTAACTTCATTAAATTATTAATGAAAAAGCTGAGCTCCTTCCAAGAGGAAGAAAATCCTCATTATCCAACATAGACAGTTTTCCTCTCTCCATTGACAGCTGCATAGTCTGTCTATCTTTCCCCCTCTCCTGTTAATAACATCAGCCTGTTGGCAAATTTTCATCTACATCACATTAATTGCCTCCGTCCTCAGATGATCGTATCACCAGAGCACATCACTCCTGTTCCACACCAGCTCCATCTGCCACCGTTCAAATACAGACACGCTTTCAGATCCGTCTGTTTACATTCAGGGTGATCCACAAGGTCATCTGGATGTTGGACAGAATATTTCTATTGTCTCGTGTGACCAGAACACCATGATTTCGTTGTCTTGTCAACAACAGATTTTTTTTTCCCACTGAAACCCACAGAAATTATATATAAAAAGTTACATTTTGATAGAACAACAAAGCTAATACGAATACATATGTAGGCAATATAATCTCTACATGAGCTGTAAATCTCTCCAGAGGCCTTCTCTGATTGACCCCATCCTTGCCTTTCTTGCCCTTTTAGGTGGCTGACAAGCAAGGGTTGACCCTTTATAGGGCACTATATTTTGAAAATCAAAATATATAAATATTTTGATGGCAAAAATATATATCAATGTAATAAAAAGAAACGCCAACTTGCCTGAATATATTAAGAAAAATGACAAAAGTGCTTCTATAAGAAATTCATGAAAAACACTCGGAGAGTGAAAAAAAATAATTTTTTTGTGGTACAACAGAACCTTAGAGGCATTAATGCTTGATTTTTAGGCTAAATCTGGCCGGTCCATTGTTGTCTTGATTTCGTCCAGAAATAGTTGTTAAAAATTGTGCTGCGTTTTATTGGTCTGGTTTTTGTCTCACTTTAGTCTAATAATAGACGTTGAAAAGACGTTGCAAGCCCAGTTTTCTACGTCTTTTCAACAATCTGAAAATTACGGCTTTTTAACCTTTCACTTTTCAGCCAAATGTAGATGTTGTCTGGATGTAAATGATGTCATTTTTTCAATGTCTTTTCAACCAATCTTTACTTGGTGGATTTCGTCTTTATGACGAACGGGGAGAGGGGGAGGGGATGTATGGCATAAATTTATAGATGATTTGTGTGTCAGGGTTACAGCCACCTAGCCTTGTGAGACCATCCTGATCTCGCAAGCTTTCAAGGTTTCATTCGCAGATCAGTCTGGAGACTCTCCGTTAAAGAAAATTTGGATCCGTTCACCAAACGAACGTCCAATCAGTGTTGGCTTTGAGGCGGGTTGAGGTGTGACGCAACGAGAAGCGCGACAGTTCAGTCTAAAGAACATGGCGGCTTCAGCCGATGAAACTAGCGTTAGCGTGGCTATCGAGCAAGTTTTATCGGAATTACAGAGTATTTCTTCACTGAAAGAAGAGCAAAACACTGCTCTGGAGGCTTTTCTCAGAGGAAAAGATGTTTTTACTCTTCTCCCGACTAGTTTTGGCATGTGGTTGTGTTTTCGTCGTCGCTCTGTTAGTACGTCATATGCTTCGTTGATCTGATTGGTTTATTTGGCCCGTCTATCACCAACATAGGCCAATCAGCTAACCAGTATTTTCGCCCCTTCCCAAAATTACTTCAACGGAAGGTTTCCAGATGGATATGCGGAGCAAATCCATCTGGCGGAGTCAGGTTAACAGCCACCCTACTCAGAGTTGCTTAGTACCTCTCTCTAAGGTGAAAGTGATACAGACGCCCTCAGGCCATGACAGAAGGGTCATTCAAATAGTATAATCACAAAAGTTATGAAAATATTTCTTAAAGTTTGAAAAAAAAAACCATAGTTTTGGTTTAGAGTTTCACAAAATACTTAAAACACTAAATTCTAAAGGGGGATTCATTGTTTTTTAACACCTTTTAATTTAAATTGCAATCCTGTTTGAGCTAATTTTTCAGTTTTTTTATTTTGAATTTCCTCCAGATCTAACCTGGTTGTCTGTCTTTTAAAAACCTGCAGACCATGGTGACCCCTCTGACGCAGCGCTACTTCGGCTTCGGCGAGCTGGGCAACAGCCTGATGTACAGCCTGTGCGGGGTGGAGGTCATCGTGGGCTTCTTCTTCGTGCGTTGGCTGAGCAACAAGGTTGCAGACCGTGTGGTTCTGGCCGTGGGCCTGGTCATCTGCTCCGCCGCCTGTATCTGGTGCCTAATTTTCCTCTGCAAGCCCAGAGGTGCTAACCTGCCCATGATAACACACAAATGCACTGTCTGTGTTTCTGAGCCGGCTGTTTTGTTCTGTGTGTGGGTGTGTGTGTGTGGCCGTGCAGAGTATAGCCCAGTCACGTTGGGTAACCCATCAGATGAAATGAATGCGTTCTGTAAATGACATTATTCAGGCTCTGGTGGTGATCACAAAGGCAGGCTGGATCCTGTGTGTTCATGTTGGCCTGCGTCTGTTGCATCTCGTCACGTTTATCGCTCTGATTAACAGTGACAGGTGCTGGAGCCGGGTACAGCCTGGGTACATTTAACAGGATTACAGTAACCTAATTAAAGGGAAAAAAGCTATTTGTTAGAGCGTAGCCTGCATTTGTTCCCCATTTGTTGCAGTTCCACTTAAACAAACAAAAGCATCAAACTTATGGCAGACAGATACCGTACCTGTTTTCCAGCAGTGGAGCTCTGAGGGAACCAGTTTCATTTGTGGAAATGGTCTTTTCATCATGTGATTACAGACGTTCAGCTCAAACAGGAACATCCAACCGTTTGAGTGGGCACAGATTCATACAAGCATGTGCATGATGCAAGGCAACAGAACAGGAATGAGTGACTGCCAGCTTGGCAGCGGTTTCATTCGCAGACAGAGCTTTCTGTGAAGGAGCCAGAGCGTTTGTGGAGGCAAACCTAGAAACCGAGGGGTGGGAGGTGAGGGGAGAGGTAGTAACTGAAGTCTGGCTGTTACTCTGCTCAGATCGTTGACACTTGGCTGAAATAAAAATAAAAAACAGAGGCAGAAAAAAACATGTGCTTTATTCCCAAAGATATAAACAGGGAACTCATAGATGTGTTTTTTTGTATTTCACCGTTTTCTTCATGCTTTGCAGGCGGATATGAATGGCAGCTCTCAGCCTTCATCGTGGGAGTTTTTCTGCAGCTCCTGGGGCTTCCCTTCGTGGCCGTGTCTCAGGTGTCTTTATTCTCCAAAGTCACTGCAGAGAAAACACAAGGTTTGCTCATTGTTGCCATCTAGATTTACACGCTATCGATTATAGATTTTCATTTTCCAAAAAGTAAACAATAAAACCTCCTAAGAGAAATAGAAACTGGAATTTTTTTGTGTTGTTCCCTAAAAGGGTTTAGCCAAGGTGTTCGGCGCTCGGTTGGAGGCCTGGCTACCATCCTGGGTCCTTTGTGGGCTGGAGGACTGACCAATAATTTGTACATAATGCTGGGAATGATGCTGGCTCTGCTCATCATGGTCACAGTAAGTAGAACAAGAGCCTTTAAGGCCTTTAACTTGCTAATCTACAGATGGTATAAAACAGTCTGGGCCGGATCTATCAAAGGTTTGCGTGTATAAAAACGTGAGCTATTTCACTGCGCACGCTAAAAAATGTACAAACTGATCTATCAACAGCGTGCTAAAAGGATTTGGTCTTTAAAACGTGCTAAATAGCGCCTCTTATCCATTTAGTACTTTTTCTGCAATAAATATGCAATATGGGGCGTTTACACGCAAAAGTGCGTCTTGTGGGAGGAGAACATGTAAATATATTAATTTAGCACTCGCAAAGTGATTTATCAAACCTGAAAGCAATTTTGCTAACGGTATCTGACTCTATATTTAACATGTTTCAAAAGAAGGTGCAAATGATCTGTATGCGTAATTGCGCACACATGGCAGCGGTTATTGTCGCAAGAAGGAGACATCGAAATGAAGCAAGGAGACGCAGAGAACGCATTTTTTCACTCCGTGTGAATATTTTTGGAATGAACGAGGAAACGATCATCAAAAAATATCGTTTATCCAGCATTGCCATTTTGAAGCTGTTGGGGGAACTCCGAATGGATTTGGAGCCAGCCACAAGGAGGACCCGCGCAATACCCCGGATATCACAAAACTCCTTGCAACATTGCACTTTTTTGCATCTGGGATCTCCCAATCTCGTTTTTCAGAAGTGCTGTCCGACGTTCGACCTCTGCGCCTGTGGAGCAACATGCCAATGCTGCGGGGATGCGTACGCGCTGTCATCTCATCCACAGTCCCATTGTGAGCCATTTGGTATGTGCATTTTTCTACAGGCCAATACAAAACACCTGTTTTTTTTTTGGAGGGGGTGGGGGTGTCACTGTAAGATTAAAATTTCTTAATGCACTAGTTTGCACAAACTACAAACTACTTTGCCGCAAACCACAAAATGCGCAAACCCATCATCTAAATAGGGCGTCTCCAACAGTTTTGCACCTGCAACCAGTTACGCAATTGCTCTTGTTAAATCACCCGCAAACCATGGTTCAGCCCCTCGCGCAAAATTCCAGTTTGCGAGCGCAAATTACTGCACGCAAAATTGGATCTTGATAAATCCGACCCTCTCAGTTTGGCTAGAGTACCCAATACTGGCAAACACTCTGGCGTCAAGGTAGTGACAGCCCACTGCTCAAATACTCCTCTGGTGAAGACCCAACGAGCCGCAGGTGTGCGAGGAGGCCCAAACGAGGACAGGGCACCATCTAGTGGTGGAAAAAGAAAACACGAAAACAACACACACAAACTGGATTCCTAACAATTTCCATTGCTACAGGAAGGAGACACAGCTATGCTTTTCCTTTAAACCCAGTTCTACACTCTTCCTTTACCTGTTTGTCTGAAATAAAATAGGCTGTAAGATAATAAAATAAAAGTTCCCTTCTAACTTCATTAAATTATTGATGAAAAAGCTGAGCTCCTTCCAAGAGGAAGAAAATCCTCATTATCCAACATAGACAGTTTTTCTCTCTCCATTGACAGTTGCATAGTCTATCTATCTGTCTATCAGAAGGTGCGTATCAAAGTTATGAATGTATCTTTATTTTAAAAGTCTTAAGCCCCATCATCATTCTTCTTCTATGCTGTAGTTAACGTATTGTTTACATTCCGACTGGTTTAAATAGGGAGTACCAATATGGCGGCAGGTGACTTCACAGCAACGTGTACTACCAACCACCTTTCACTTTAGACTTGACTTAGACATAGACAGACTTTATTGTCGTTTTGTACACACAGAATGTATACAAAAAGAAATTTCACGCAGTACAGCTCTGAAGACATTTCCATTTTTAAACTGCAGGAGTAATAAAATGTAAGCAGCAGTGATAAAATGTAAACATGGTGATCAAATGTAAACATAAGGCTGGTATATGACACAGCAATCACAGAAATCCAGTGAATAAATATAGATCAGTAGACACTACTGCAAATTCAAGTTGTATAACATATGAATCATCTGCAGTCCTTTCAACATTTAAATATCATTAAATATTTGGCATTATTCTACAAATGGCCATTTCTGCAAGAGTGAAGAGAACGTAAAAAGAAAAGCTTCAAGCGTTTCACATCTCTTCACATTTACACCACCTGGAAATGCTATAACAACACTAACAATTCAGCTTCAACCTTAAAAGGTTAATTTTTCTGTTATGTCTGTTAAAAACCTAAAATCCAAGTATCCAGCGTCTTCAACAGCAAGGTGTCCCACTCTGACTTGCATAGACTTAATTTGACGTGACAACAATGGGATGCAAAGCTTCTGCAGGATTAATCGTTTTAGCGCGCCGCAAATACTACAGATACTCAAATTATGCCTATTTATTGTAATACATGTAAATACATCATTGTCTTCACAATAAGAGTGATTTCTATGGGTAAGATTTATGTCAAAAAAATGTATGTGTCTGAAGTGTAATGTGCTGTTATGTACCTAAATGTACTGTAAATGTAAGATGTGTGAGAGTTAAAATTTAGAAGCTTTGATGTTACAACTCTGTAGCACTACAGCTCTACAAATACAGTTTGGCTAGAGTACCCTACCCTCTACAAATAAAACATTAATAAAAAATGTGCAACACATTTTTTGAGTATGCATTACAAATTTACAATAAAAAGTCTGAAATTTATAAAGTATGGATAACATACTGGGGTGACAGTGGCGTTGGATGTAGGAGTTTGCCCTGAAATCGAAGGGTTGACGGTTCAAGCCCCGCTTCTGTCAGTGAGACCCAGGGCAGCTGTGGCTACAATGTAGCTTGCCACCATCAGTGTGTGTGTGAATGGGTGAATGAATGTAGTGTAAAGAGCTTCGGTCAAGTCTCCTGACTTGAATAAAGGTGCTATATAAGTACATGCCATTTACCATTTATGAGTACAAATCACAAATACAAAAGTACAGATCCCAACTTTTCGAGGAAGAATAACAAATTCACCAGTACGGCACACAAATTTATGAGTTATGGATCACAATTTTACAAGTAGAAATTAAAAAATTCCTGAGTTTGAATAACAGCCTTATCCACCAGCAGAGGCGTAACCAGAAAATGTTTATAGGGGTGGCCAGTAGAGACTGACATTTTTTGGGGAATCCCACGGGTCACAGGATTCCCGTGGGATGGGAGTCAGTATTAGTAACGATCACGTGATTGGGACGGTACAGGATTAAACATTAACGGCTGGCTAGCTGCATGCTGGCATCGGAAATGTCCGGGTTAAGCCAAGTTTCGGTAATGATAAACACACAGCAGTCCCGGACGTAGCGATTTCCTGTGAGGTGTAAATCCAGGTCGTCCATTTTATGCAGCAGGGATCTGGCGTTGGAGAGAAACAGGCTCGGGAGAGGCGGCTTGTGTGGTTGTTTACGTAGCATCTCCTCCACCCGCACGCTGAGCATCGGCTCCCCACAGGGCTGTGTGCTGAGCCCCCTCCTCTTCTGCCTCTACACCCACGATTGCAGACCGATCCACAACCACAACCGGATCATCAAGTACGCCGACGATACCGCTGTGGTCGGTCTCATCTCCAGGGGCGACGAGGCCGCCTACAGAGAGGAGGTCCTGAAGCTGGCTGATTGGTGCTCAGAGAACAATCTGACTCTGAACACCAAGAAAACCAACGAGCTCATCATAGACTTCAGGAGGCACAGCCCTGAGCCAGCTCCCCTCTTCATCAACGGCGAGCAGGTGGAGAGGGTTCACAGCGTCAAATACCTCGGCGTCCACATCTCTGACCGCATCACCTGGTCAGAGAACATCACCACCATCATCAAGAAGGCCCGGCAAAGGTTACACTTCCTGAGAATCCTCAGAAGGTATAACCTCAACTCCGATCTGCTGCTGGCCTTCTACCGCTCCTCCATCGAGAGCTTGCTGACCTACTGCATCATAGTATGGTTCGGCAGCTCCACCGCTGCCGACAGGGAGAGGCTGCAGAGGGTGATAAAGGCAGCGCAGAGGATTATCGGTCGCCCTCTCCCCTCCCTGGCAGACATTTCATACATTTCCTTTTCACTGTTTACATTTGCTTTTCACTGTTTACATTTCCTTTTAATATATTTATATATATATATATTTTGTAACTGTTTACATTTCCTTTTCCTTTTAATATATTTATATATTTTTTAGATATTTTTTATTTTTATTTTTATTTCACGGTAGCTGTTATGGAAGTCCCAAATCTCATTGTATCTGTCGCAGAATATAATGACAATAAAGGCTTTTTGACTTGACTTTTGACTTTGACTTTGAGCAGAGGGGAGCGGGAGCAAACCAATTCTAACTAAAAAAAAACTAGGATCGATGCCCAAAAAAATTTGATAAAATAGAAAGAAAAAAAATCCAGTACTGGCGCCGCCATTTTGTAGTTTTTTTCCTTGAAGCCTACACTATAATGCGAGTCAAAAAAACTACACGACCCAAAAACCAACAGTGCTTCCGCTCTGAGTTTTTCCACCCGCGCTCAAAAACAACAAGAATAGGAGTGGTGCGGGTGCGGGAGTCATGCGGGATGGGAGCGGGAGTAATTTCACCAGGAGTGGGACGGGACAGGATTTAGATTTCTACTCTGGCCCGGGATCGGGACGGGACATAATTTATTTCTGTGGGAGTGGGACGGGACAGGAGTGAAAATCCACTCCCGTGTCAGTCTCTAGTGGCCAGGCAATAACCAATGTACACTTAGGGGTGGCTGAAAGCAGATCAGCACCAGAACCTCTGGGTGTGTCTACACTATTCCAACAGGAAAATTAACAAGCAAAACATCAATATTTTCTAAATAAAGACAAACTATTCTTTCCTACAGCCTTTGCTAATATTAGATGCATATATTTAAACACCCGTAATTTCTAGATTAAATGTATAGTGGCTAAAACTCTTTCAGTTTTGCATTCTGGGGCGTAAATCTTTTCCATTGTCATTACTTACCTATATATATATATATATATATATATATAAAGAAAA